CCACTGCCCGCAGCCCCTGCCCGCAGCCCCTGCCCGCAACCCCTGCCCACAACCCCTGCCTGCAACCCCTGCGCACAGCCACTGCCCGCAACCCCTGCCCACAATCCCTGCCTGCAACCCCTGCGCGCAGGCACTGCCCAAAATCCCTGCCCACAGCCGCAGCCCTCGCAGCTCGCAGCGGCTCGAGTGGATCCATGCCCAAACTCCATCCCAGGCAGGCGATGCCAGCGCTCATTAGGACACTCCGGCCTAAGTCTTGACTTCAGGCTGGTTGTTACACCCCTAAGCCGGATGCGTCGGCACAGCATCGCCGGGAAACACGTGCCTTCGTGCCAGTTGCCTCCCACGTGCGGCGTGGACAAATGCTTGAGCATAGGGTGCTCTGCAGCAGAAACCACGAGATTCTGATTTAATGTTTGTTCTTCAGTCCTTCCGTGCCCCTTTCACCTTAGTGGAGATTGAGAAACCCTCTTCTGACAGTGGGTGCTGCTCGTAGAAGCGACAGGCAACCCCGGAATAAGAGTTTGGTTTCTGTAGAAATGAGCTTCGTGATAAATACAGACACGCTTTCTAATTTGGGGTTTTGTGATGTGGGTGGATGCTGTAAGATAAACCAGTTGTCATCCCAGTGCTCACCTCCACCACGGCAGTTACTGGCTAGGAAGACTGAATGGCCAGAAGAGCTAAAATCCTCAGTTCTGCATCTGTAGAGCAAACAGCTGCAAACCTTGTCCGTGCAGCCTTGCCTGCGCAGGGCCCACGCCAGCTTGGTGCTGACACAGCTCCTGCCCGCGCATCTGCTGCAGCGTCTTTCTCCTTTCAGATTGCTGTCCAAGCCATGACCCACTTTAGTCCTGCTTTGAAGGAGATGGAAGGCGGCGGGGACGCAGTGGGGACAGATGCGGTTACATCAGCGGGAGTTTTCTGCAGGCTGCGGTGTGTAAGGTATGCCCTCATCCCTGCCCTCAGTTCGGCTCAGCTTTGGGGGAAACGGATAAAACCCACCATCTGCCCGAGGGATGCAGAAACGTCGTATGCAACCAGGTCTTGTCACAGAGCTGTTCAAATAACTGGCCCCGCTGAAATGATAACCTGCCGTTTCAGCCCACTTTTTAATGTTCTTTCATGTACTTTTAACTAGAGGTTTACATAACCCTCTGCCAAGTCCTTCCCACATGCGGGGACTAACACTCTAGAAGAGAAAATATTGTAAAGGAATACATTACCTTGACAGGTTCAGCACCAAAACACCGAAGAAGAAACCTTCCTTCCTCCCTCCCAGATTTTGTCTGGCTTGTATGCCAGGCACATACTTTCAGTTTTTCTTACGAACAGATAGAGGTATCATTCTTACCACGTCTCCACAGCAGGAAACCTTTGTCCCAGTCCACAGAGCACTGGTGATACAGCAGCTGAGTGTACGTTTTTTTTCTTCTCTCTTAGCTGACTGCATTGCAGTGCTACTGAGTTTGCAAGGTATCAGGATTGCTCCACACTCCTTGCACAGCTAGAACCTACTTACCTCTTTTCCCTGGCAACTGACGAGGAGGGAAATGAGTATCAGAGCAAACAGGATGCAATAAACAATGCAGTTTTGTTCCTGATGCAATTCTTGCTACTGAAACAAATACAGAAAATAAAGTTTCAGCCAGCTCCACAGATTCCAGACTAACTGAAGCTGGCTGCTGGCTTCTTTTTTTCATGTACCTGTAAGCGGTGACTTGCTGCAGCATTTCTGCTGATAACACCACGTCCTCAAAAAAGCACCAGGGCTGACACATCAGTGCCCTGTTTGCCTGTTGCCACCTTACTCAAGTGACAGTAGCAGAAAGAGCTGTGACAGCGCGTCGGTAGTGGGGAGGGAGACCTGCCCGAGGGCTGATGGCCGTTGTGCTCGTGTAGCAGCGCTGGGGGCTGTGTGCAGGTTAAAGCTGGGCTGCAGTTCTGCCCATTCTTGGTGTGGTTTTATAAAGGGGTTGATTTGGGAAAGCAGGGGGAGACCCTGCTGTTAGGACGGGTGTGAAGGAGGACTGCCTAGACCACAAGCTGTCCTTTACAGCTGTAGCAGCTCTCCGTGCTCTAGAAGTCAATATACGCTGACTGACGAGCTGAATGATTTCACTTTCTCTGCTGAAGTGTGACTTACACCATCTCTTGCAACAACAAATTTCAGACTTTAGCTAGATCCTGCACAAAGGGAATCCAAACTTTTATTTCAGCAGCCATGCCAACCAAATAAAAAACAAATGTGGTAACAGAGGAAGAAATTATGTCTTTGGTAATCCCCTAGAGGGCACAGATGCGGTGAGGCTGTGGCCTGGACTTGGTGCCGAACCTGAAATGGCCAGAGAGTGAAGTGGTGCGGTAGGGTGGTCAGACTTTTTTCATCAAGGCTGGCTCTATTCCCAAATATGAGTTACAGGGATCAAATGTGCATCTGCCTCCAGCAGAGAGGAGTGCCTTCGAGCCAGGTACGGGTGGTTTCAGAGCTCAGTCATGCCCTGAGCACCAAGGAGCAATGCAGCAGAGGCTGTTCCTCCCCTCCTGTATCACCAGTACTCTGCTTCCAAGCTTCCCTGTGCCTCATGAAAGCACAGCCTCCCCTGCAGCCTTGGCCTATTGCAAAGCGTGATTCGGGCTGCCACCTGCGTGCTGCAAGCACAGCGGCTCATCCCGCTGCGCCGTCTGGATTTTTCAGTTCTTTTCTAGGAAGTGACAAGCTAGGTCTCTTTGGGTATTTACATTCCTTCTTTACTTTTTCATCTCCTTCGTAGCCTTTTATAGACAAACCTTGTGGGAAGTGCTAAAGGATCAGAAGAATAGGACTCAGTAAATCTGGAATTGAGTCGGCTAGCAATCCTGTAGCACAAGGACTCAGCTTTCTGCCCCCACCTCAGGCATTTCTTTGAAGTGGTTGATCGTTTTTGTTGCCTGTATTCCCCTTCAAAAAACCTATCAAGCTAATTCAATGAACCCACAGCAGTGTCTTGGGAAAGATTTCAGGACATTAGAGGCAGCATTTAACAAGACTTTCAACCATAAGATAAAACGAAAGGGGTAGAGACACCACAGTGCTGTTCTTCGTTCCTCTGGGTTTAAAGAGCCACCAGTAACAAAGCTAGTTGTGTGGAAACCATCCCTACCACAAGTATTTTCACAAAAAGAAACAAACCCAAAGCACGGATTAATTCCTGGAGATGCTGCTGACACTGCTGCCTTTATCAGAAGAAGAAAGGTGGCATTCACTGGGGCTGGGCCATTGCTTTCTGTATGCAGTATAGTAACACGGCATCAGTCTGTTTATTGTCATCTGCTTTATCTCCCACTGTAGCCACTGATCCTCAGAAGTCAGATTTCATGCTGTGCCCGAAGCATGGATAGCTTGGCCCACTGCTCTCTGCCTGACAAGAGGATGGATGAAATAAAATAGCAACCAAGCATTTACCCGGCCCAGGACATTCAGCTCTTTCCTGGCTCACCTCGGACACAGCCGTTTTTGCAGGCTGACCGCCACATGTGATCACAGACACATCCAACGAGCTGCAAAGGTCAGTCTCGTGTATGCAGCCCTGTCTGGGAATGATGTGGGATCTGCCGGGTGCCTTCAGGACATCAGCTGGCCATCAGCCTGCAGAGCGCAGGGTCAGGGCACTCCTAGCCTCGGGCGTGCCAAGACCCCTTCCAAAACATGGCCACCGGCCCTAGAGCCGCGGCTGAAGGCTCCTGGAGCTTCTGCACTGCTTGGGAGGTGATGGGGGCCACTGTACCCTGGCACCCCCCAAACCAGCATTCTTCAAGGTAACTTGCTGCATTTATCCCTAACCTCAGCTGCTGAGACAGCCTGGCTGGTGTTTTGGTTACAGGCAGGTCTAAGTTACACAACCTTGCCCACAACTTCTTTTGAAAGAAAAGAGACTTTCAGACGTCTTAATTACAAAATAACATTTAAAAGTTGTCAGGGTTTATTATCTCATCACACACAGTAATGATTCACTTACTTAACATGTTGTAACCAAAAGGTTAACAGCAGGCTGAGCTGTTGCCTTCCCCTCTGTACTGTACAGTGCCACAAGTATGGCCTTTGCAGTGGAATACAAAACTTGCAGTATGTGGAAGGACATTACAATTAAAAAGTGGATTTTTACCCAAGTGACCTGGAAAGCATTTCCAAGCATCCTGCCATTTCCAGTTGCTCTGCTTTGACATCGTTCCTCTGCTTCTACCTATCCTTTTGAGTGGCAGAACTAAGATTTCCAGGCTGTGTTCCCGTGTCCATGGGGGACACCATGGACTGGCTCTTCATGACAGAGGAGGAACAGCACAACATGACATCTGCTTGCATTGATGGGCTGCCAGCATGGTCCCTTTCTGCAGCACTTCAGTGTTGCTACTTGAGTGCACTAAAACCAAACAAAACCCCACGACGACGCACAAGTTTTTATGGCGAGGAAGCTGAAGCTGAAAATACACGCAGTGACTGACAAGCCCAGAGTCTTGGTTTGTGGCTGCACATTGCAGTGCCGTTGTGACCACATCTGACAAGTGTTCCGGCTTAAAGAACTGCTGAGGCTGCAGGAGGCACCTATAGATTGGGCCTGGTTTGGGGAACTTTGTACAGTGATTTTCTTCCTGCTGATGAAGAGGATGCGGACCCCAACGGAGAACTCTACAGGGTAAGTACCTCAGGTGGTTCTGCTTTTCCAAAGCCTGGAACAAACAAACAATTCAGTTTGCTGCTTCAGACCTCTCTTAATTTGTCCACTGCCAAATTATTTGTTGGGGCTGGGCTTCTGAGGTTGTTTTTTTGGTGGTTTTGTTTCGTTTTGTTTTTTTTAACTCAGGGCTTATTGCTATTCCATTGTCAATAGTGCGTAGCAGAAAGAGCTGAGATTTAACAGAACTAAAACTCTTTGGAACCTCAACAACAGGCTGTGTGTTGTGGCTGATGTGCTTTCACAATCCCTTTCTTTCCAGTTTTTCCAGTATGGCCTGAATTCTGTGGACGGACTCTTTCCTGGCCTGCCGAACACTGTCCTGGCCACCAGTCTCGATGGAATCCAGTTCCAACAGCAGCTTGGTCAACATCTCCTCCAGAAGCCGGTAGGATTTATCTGTCTTTTTTCCTACAAATTCATCCACCTCTTGCCCCAGCTGTTCAGCCTCCCCCATAACGTGGAGGATTCTCTGAATCTCTGGCTGGATGGCTGCAGAATTTGTTGAAGGCTGGTCACCAGGTTTAAAGCCAACCTCCCGGTTCCCAGCCACAAGCTTCCGAGATGCAGTGTCGTACATTTGGGGCTGTGCGCTGTACTGCACCTTGGCATTTGAGGGGGATGGCTTGGCATTGAGTGGAGTGGCTGGCTTGTGGTCATTCATTGTCCCAGAGTGCTGGTGATTGACATCAGAATAGTAGTTGTGTTGGTTTGCACTTTGCTCAGGTTTGTTGTAAGCAGTATCCTACAGTCAGAAGGAGAAAAAAATTCTAAGTAAGTGCATTTCTCTTAAAGCCAGGGTTTTAATCTCTCATCTTGCACTCAAAAGGCAGGCAGGCAGGGCTGAGAGAATTGGGTGACAGGTGACACCATGACTGCTTTGAGTTGTGCATGCCTGGGAGGACAGGGCAGACCGGGTTAGGCGTGATGTTACCAGGGATCTGGGCAGCATTTTCTAGACTGTCACACACCGTGATGTCATAACACATCATGTCCCCGCGGCCTGGTTTCTGCGAGAAGTCCCAAAGAGGAACACGAAACCCACGCTCCAGTCCCTGGCTGTTAAAGAGCAGATCCCCGGCAAGAGGCACATGTCTAGAAGAAACAGTGTGAGCCACTGGATGCTCACTACCCATGAATAGTGAGATGCTAACTAGATTTCAGCACGGTCCCATTTGGATATACCAGAGAAGATACTTCTCTGCAGGTAGCACACTTCTGAGCTGTTTCCAGGTAACAGCAGCCCTCATCCCCAAATCCCCCCATCAGGGCTGCTGCTGCACATGCCAGTGCTGCTGCCTGGGGACCAAACCTCCGGAGAGTCATCTGACTCCTGATCAAACGCAGGAAAAGCTGAGTTGAACAGGCCCCACCAAATGCATAATTTCCTTTATTTTTTGCTTAAAACATTCCTCAGTAGAGGATCACTGTGCCCAAAGCAAGGACTTGTAGAGGAATACTAGAGTCTGCTATACCAGAGTCTGCAAACTGACATGCAGGTTAGTCCCACACTTTGTGCTGGAGGATTTCTGACAGCGTTCACTGCTTGAGAGAGAAGAGTTGGACAAGCGAGACGAGGTCTGACCCATTTCAAGACCTGCCCTGGGACAGCTGCTATCTCCAGTACCTTTCTGGAATTACAGCCGTGGACTTTGGTCTTCTGTATGCAAATAGGAGATTTTGCTGGCAGTACTCTGGATACCTGCTGCTTTGTTTCTCCTTAAACTAGCTATGCTTGGAGAAAGGGGCATTCCCAGGAGACAGAGGCAGGTTTTGAGGAAAGCTGTATAATCTAGGAGGTCTGACGGCAGCACATGCTGTAGAAGCATCAACTGTACCTTTGAGTCCCACACAGGAGGGTGGGAAGAAGCTCCGCTGCCAGTCCAGGGTGGATGCGATTCGGAGACGAAGGGGTTCCCGTGCACCGAAGCAGCCGGCCACGCGTAACGTGGCTGCACCCCGTAGACGGTCGGGGGAGCCCACGTGTCCTCTGGGGGTCTGGGCTGTGGTGGAGGCCCCTGCGCCGTGACCCCTGGATTGCTGTCTCCGTATGGATACTGCGGGATGGGCATTCCTGGGGTCTGCGAGAAGAGGGGGGAACAGGCGTGACCCCTGGAGTCACGCTGAGCACTGCTCCCTCCAGACAGCCCTGGGAACAGCTGCAGCATCAGGCTTGCTGCCCGATTCCTGCTTTCCTAGCCCACAGGCTTGGAGTCTCTAGGGTGGCCACCGTTTTTTCTAAGAATAAAACCAGGCAGGGCAAGCTGCTCAAGGCACAAGAGCCATTAGGACCCACGGATCCATCGGAGGAGGCACTGTGGGCTTTCCCTCTGCTGCGGCCCCATAAAACAACTTCTTGTGCCCCAGGAACTGCAAGCCCGGCAGCTGCACCGACACCGGGGCTGGAAATTACTCTGGCTGGTGCCCAGCCTCTTACCTGCGGTGGGGAGTAGCCAGGAACCTGCTGCCTCCTGAGCGAGGACCCTTCGGTGGGACAGTCCGGCGGGGCGTAGCTCCAGGGGGGAGCCGGTGATGAGGGCCGGTACATGCCGGTGGACTCCGCAGGGTAGGGGGTCCGAGAAGGCGCGGAGCAGTAGTACCCCCGTGTCTGCGGCAGGCCGGTGTAGTGCGGGGCAGCGCCGGGAGCCGGAGGATACGGGGGGTTGTAGGCTCCGTTTGCATAGGGAGAATCCATGGCCTGGGGAGAAGGGAAGAGCAGAGAAAAGGTGATGGGCCACAGACATGGGGCAGAGGGGCTCCCGGTCTGGCCCACCAGCAGCCCGGAGAAAGAGGACTGGCCCTTCCTGCAGCGTGTAACTACAGGGTTCCTTTGTCCCCGAGCTGATTCGCCCCAGTTTTATGTTTTCCTGCTCTAACGTGGCTTTCTGTTGGCCGCTGTGAATAAACGCCTGTCTGCCTCACACTTTGGTCCCACTGCCCTCACAGCACGCTCAGGGAGACAGGCAGTGTCAGGGGCACTGTAGGGGGATAGACTTGTCTGGAGGGTGGGAAGAGAGGGGATACGCTAAGCTTAACCATGCTTCCCTCGGCTAAGCTTTGCTCAGAAACAAGCGTACAATTTCTCACAGCAAGCAACTCTCAGGAGATTCAACCACGTCAATGTAGTCACTGACTGGTGGATGAAAAACACTTCAGGAAAGTTAATTTCCTCTTTCAGTCATGCAAACAGAAATGATGCAAGCGGACGAGATCTACCAGTTCTGGGGCCCGAGGAGCAGGGTGTTCAGATCACCGAGCCGCAGGTCATGCTGCGGCCGCGGGAGCTGTCAGGTTTGAGAACTTGTCATATGAAAGGTCTGTACGTCCAGAACATTTGTGAGAATTTACCTGAATACATTCAGGTAATCAATGTATATTGAACATGAGCTTCCATCTAACCACAGAGGAGACAATGAAGCGTCAGGATTTCAGGAGCGCACAGATGACTCCCTGTAGCTTTGGGCAAAGCAGTTTTTTGCCCACGAGCTGTTTCACGGAGGAGAGATTGTATCACCTGCGTGCTGGCGTTTATGAAAGAGCCGGATCAAACCTACATGTCCCATAGGATTAAAACAAACCACAGTTATGTCGGGACAGCAGACAACCCCTTTGGAAAGAGCAAAGCCCTTCTCTTCACATGGTATTTGCGCAACAGCCCCTAAAAAAAGCTATTCCTGCAATAAAAACAACAAATAATAGATCCGGGAAGAGCAAGTCATGGGACCGGGGCACAGCGGGACCGGCGATGCTTTTTTACCCCCCTCCACCGTGAGCTGCCGGCTCCTTTCTGCTGGTGGAACGTGTCGTACAAATGCCGCCGCTCCTGCGGCTGGCACCTTTAGTCTGCCGTGCCTGGAAAGAGGGGGACGTGGCGGGGATCGGATCCTCAAGCCCCACGCTCACACCGGGGAAGAGGCAGTCCTGTCTGTCGGTGAAGGGCCGGTTAGCTGGGACCGGGACACATCCTGGCCGGCGATGCCCAGCTCTCACCACGCATCCCAGCAGCAAACCAGCCGAGTACAACAGCGGCGGCATTTCCCCGGTGATCTCTTCATTAAAATACATGCCCTAGAAATGTCACCTTGAACTGGATACGAAGGTAAAACTTCACCACGTTCGTCGTTTTAGGTATTTTTTCTCCAGTTAAAACACCTGCCCAAACCCCCACGGGACGGGAGAGCGGATTTATCGTGCCAATGGAAATCAAGCGACGAGAGCAAAGGAAAATAAAGCGATCGGACTTAAGGCACAGGGGTGACGATGGGGACAGTCCGTCACGGCCGGGTGCATTTTGGGGGAACAGGCACCGGCCGCGCAGACCTGACCGGTACCGCCGGGCTCCGTCCCCGCACTGCTGCCCGGCCCGGGGGGGTTGCGGAACCCGCCCGGTCCCGTCCGTAGGGAGGGAAACTCCGCTTCCCGTTAACGGGGAGGGGCAGGGACAAGGGCTGCAGCCCTCCTCCGCCGGACGGCCCCGGGCGG